AGGTATATAATCACCCCTGGGGGGGGGGGGTTATTTTTTTTACTATATAACAAAAAAAGTACTCTAAATTTTGGAAAAAAAACCCTGTTTCCCTATGAAACATTTATTATCACCCCAATTTTTTGGTAAAATATGAAAGGCGCGGTCAAGTCGGGTTAATAGACACCAAACATGTCAAGCCTTAAAATTGCGCGCGCCCGCGAAACCTCAAAAAACTACAATACCCAAAATTGGTCATAGGCGACGCTTTAAAAGCTTTTACCGATCATAGGTTTCACTGCGACATTCGCGGTGATATGTAACGCGTAATGTAATGTCACCTGGGGACCCCCAAAGAAGCTAATGAAGCTTCATCAGCTTCTTCTCTCTGGCTATAGCAGCCAGAGGACTGACAGGTGAATGCGGAAGTGATGTAATACAGGCAGTCCCCGGGTTACATACAAGATAGGGACTGTAGGTTTGCACTTAAAGGAGAACTATGAGGGGAGTGCTTTTCACTCACCTCATAGTTCTGGCCGACCAGTGACAATGAGACTGTCACAGGTCGGCTCAGTAGATCGGGAGGTGAGCGAACACATACCGGCGTTCGCTCACTTCTCGATCCTGTCACGGCTCTGTGCCGTGACAAGGGAGGGGCTGGATTCCCTCCTCCTCGCTCCGATCCGCCAGCGCTGACTGGCGGAACGGACGGGGGAGGGGGCGGGTACAGCTGACTCTAGATAGGCAGAGCCAGCTGTCAGTCACCCAGCTGGGCAGATCCCGGCACAATTGTCGGGATTCGCTTCAGCTGCGGCGTCTCAGTATATAGAGAGCTGTAGCTCGCGGTATACTGAGCTGTGGGTGACGGGAGGACGCTAGTTTGTGTCCTCCCGTTACCCTAAGGAGAACTATGGGGAAAAGCCCTGACCCCATAGTTCTCCTTTAAGTTGAATTTGTATGTAAGTCGGAACAGGTAAAAAAAATTTAAGTGTAACTCTAGCCCCAAATTTTTTTTTTTAGTTTTGGATAGCATAGGGAAGGGTTACGTTTGTTTTGCTGTCTGTTCCCGTTGTTCAGAAGATTATAATATAATAAAAACATTTTTTTATTTAAAATGACACACAAAAAAAGTTTTTTTTCTGTTTTTAATTTTATTTTATAAACTGTATTTGTTTGCATTTTTAATGTTTATTTAACTTTTTTTTACTTTGTAAAAAAAATTTTTTTTTGTCTTTTTAATTTAATTTTTTAATATTTTAATGCTGGGAGCAATAGCCAGCCTGCTACTGGATATTTCAATTTGCAATAGCCAATAGCAGGCTGGCTATTGCACCCGCCTGCTGTCAATAGGCAGAGGAGGGGCCTGAAGGAGAAAGTTCTCAATCAGGTCCTCCCATGCTGATTGACAGCAGGCAGTGGGCGAGTGCAATAGCCAGCTTGCTATTGGCTATTGCGTTTTACAATATCCAATAGCAGGCTGGCTATGGCTCCCAGCCTGCAGCTGAAGATGAGGCAGGGGGGCGGGGCAGAGGAGAATCGGCCGGACCTGGGGAGCAGAGGAGCCGACGGACCGGAGGGAGAGGAGCGGACGAACCCGGGGAGAGGGGGAACCAGCCGGGACAGCAGCGGAGGGATGGGGGGAGGGGAGGGAA